TAAATCACTGAGTTCTGTTCAGGTCTGCAAGATACCTTTTCTCAAGCATCCAGGTCTGCTCGAACTGAGTATCTTCTTGGACCCTGGGATTTGACCCTTTTTTTTATCCTTTGCCCAGTTGTGCTGAGAACCTGGAGGAAGTAGAGAAGGGAGTATGCCTATATTCGGGCCACACTGTGTGGGCAAAAGAAACAAAACCTAGTCATAACCAAAGAATTAAAGAGGAACTTTGATGAGTTTGGGGTATTAGCAAGTCTGAAATTTATGAATTTTAAACAATTTCTGTTTGTGCTCTTTTTTTGTAACTGGCTTCTGAGGTGCAGCAGCTTTACCTGGCTGGAATTGCACGTGACAGTTCAAAATGTCCTGTTAATACCAGCCTTGGGGTTAGCATGATTTTATAGTTTCTCTGTATATTTATTGGAATTCTTGCTCCTAATTTTAAATGTTTGCAAGAAGCTTTAAATTCTGAAAATAATTCCCTTGTTCCAACATAAATAAGGGTAAGCTTTCATTTGCTCTGTTTGCTCGGCATTTGTGCCTCTTAACATTCAAGAAAACAGACAAATACACCGATACTAAGTATAGGCAAATATTTTCCATATAACACTGCCTCCAATATAAATTCCAGTAAATGCATAACAGAACTTCTCGAAACAACATAATCTTTAATTATCTGTATTTCCCTGAAGAAATGGGGAGGATTCCAACTGGTTACTTGACCTGAGGATTTCAAATGTCCTTTCTGGTACTGTGTAGGAATATCCCATCCAGCTTTTCCACTAAACACTTTTAAAACCTCATACCAGCTTTGATCATACCTGATAAAAGTATTTTATTAGTTTTACATTCAATTTTTGTGTGTTTTATTGACGCTTTCTTGTTTCTCCTACTCTTTACTCGAGCTTCCACATGCCACATCTGGAGTATTTAAGTGCGAGGAACTGTGCCCATTGCCACTGCCTCTGTGAGCTTTCAGAGTGTGTAATAAGGGTCACTAGCTGTCCTCTAGCCTGGGGAAGCTGGAGGATGAAGATGAGCATAATACCATGCTAATACAAGACAAATGTTTTGTGGGAGCTTTGGGGATGAGTTTTTTGGGTTTTTTGGTTTAATCTCATGACTTCTGAAATAATCCTATGGTATCTGGAGGACCGTCTGACAAAAAAATACTTGGGTCTGTGGGATTTGATTCACGTTGGCATCCCAGAGCAGAGCTTTTGTTTGAAAGCTTGCTGCTTTGTTTCTCCATCGTGCCCAAAGAATACAGCAGGAGCTATGGAAGGCAATGAACTGGGCACAGAAGCATGGAAATGCTCTTTCCAGAGAGCAAATAAGTGAATATTTATGGAGTAAAATGCTAGGTTGTCACCTGATGTGGGGTTTATTCACGCTCCTTTTGAGGGTCTGTTTGCAAGTCAGGTAGATGCAGTGAAGCTGGCAGTTTAAGTTTGGGTAGATCTTGGAAAAGTACAGCTATGCTTTTGCAGTTCAGATGTGCCTTTGGAAGCTATTCCGATAGAGCTTTGGGGCATTGGTGAGTTTGACTGGGGGAAGGACCCTCCAGTTTGTTAAAACAGTTCATTTTCTCTTTACGGTAAGATGGGAGGAAGCTTGACGCATTTTCTTAAAGATCTATTGTAGGAACTAGCAAACAGTGAAGACGTGGTAATGATTTGCTAACCTTTTAGTCCTGCGTCAGGAAGCCTTTTGTCAAAACAATAGTGAGCACGGAGCAGACATGTAATTCATGCGTCTTTAGGTGTGTTTAAAGGGGCTTTGCTTGCTCTTGGTGTATGCATAGTTCAGAAATTCATTATTCTTGCATGGCAGTCACTTGTTCTCTGGTCCCACATGTCCCAGCAATCGTGCTTATTCACACTTGGACCTCTTCAACAGCATCATCACTGTTATGGATGAGTGTTAAATGCAGAGGTGAACATCTGGTACCTGGCAGCAGCAGAAAACCTGTTGGACTGACAGGTGGCTGGTTTAAAATACTTGAACTGTTGTTTTCTTGCTTAGACTCTTGTCTTTATCCTAATCTGCTTCCAGTAACTATTCTTAAATGTAGTGAGTTTCATGGAGGAATAAAACTAGGATTTGTTAGGTGGAAGATAAGGCTGTCCAGGTGGCCCACTTGCTTGGACAGATCTGTCTTGCTTTACCTCTTAATTGAACACAGAGGTGAAGTTTCATCAGCATCCTTGATTTACCAAAGATTTTCTGAACCCTGTAAGTCGGTGTACTCCGGAAAAAGCAGACTTGCACCCGCAGCAGTACCATGGTCCTGTCCTAGGGCTGAGAAGATAGCTTGTTTTAATTGGAAGGAAGGAAGGACAGAAAGAGGGAAAGACCTTGTTCCCACTAAAGGTGGATGGGACAGCATTTCTAGGAAACTGTAACGAAGGAAGGTCGCTGTCTTGGCATCGCTAAGGAAGAAGAATTGGGTGACTCTTTAGAAGATGATGGAGGGATTTTGGAAGTTGTAGCAAGAACTCTTTTAAAATTGGGGTTTGCTCTTATGAGAACATTGAGGAAAGTTAATCCAAATGAACTGAAGATATAAATTGAAATATGTTTTTAATTTGGTTTAGCTTAATTCACCTGTTTGCTTTTGTTCTGAATGAAGGTGTCCCTGCAGGAATTTAATTTCATCTAATAAAAGTACTTAAATTCATATCCTTAATTAGGTTAGGGTATGTGTGTGTTTTCTTCTTCCATGAGCATTCTCAAATGAACTGTAGCCAAGGAATTGGGCATCAGCAGAAGGGAAGCGATGCCTGTGTAAGTACGGGGTGGTGTTGCTGAGAAGCCAAGAGCCTTCCCCTTCTCTCCCTACAAGGGGTATTCGGATGGTGCAGCGACTCTTCAATACCCAGTTCTTCCCTGCGATCCCTTCTGTGGAGTGTGGCAGGGAGTTATAACACTAATACTCCTATACGGCAGATCCCCAAACCCAGCAGCCCTTAGGCACAGACAACTCGGGAGCCTGGAAATACTGTATTTCAGGGGTTCAAGGAAATAAAGCTAAAGTTCACCATTTAACTCATATGAACATTCATTTTTAAGTTTGCGATTACACATTTAACTTCAAACCAGTTTGTATGTAGATTAGGGAATTTATAAGTTCTGTAATTAAAGCTTGTCCTGATTTGTGTAACAGTACTTTTGTATTGTTACTGCCTGTTATTCTACTTACATGCTTCATATTACCTTTTTATTCCACTTAAGTAATTTTCCAAAATTAATTGCAGAACTTCACAAATCTGTAATTAGCTGTACAAGATCCATGTTGAGATTTTTTTATCCAGATTTTTTTAATGTTTCAAATGCTTATTTGCTCAAGTATGTTCATATGAATTTCTGGACACATTGCACAGTACATGCTGACACCATGAACAAAAAGCTGGCCAGTCTCTCTATGAACAGTGTGCTGTGGTATGCAATGTCGTGGCACTCAAGGAATTCAGTGATCTCTGTACGAAGAGCAAGATGTTGTTTATTGTTTCTTTATGAAGGTTGTTTCGAGTCTATAAAACTCGCTATACAACACAGTGAGTGCTGTCAGCTTCAAGCATATTCTTGCTTTACTCACTGTCATAAATATCTTGTAACAATCTAGGGTGTGATGCAGATCTGTTAAATCGTATTGGATGGGCTCTTAAAAGGCTCTGAAGACTATGTCTTGGTATGAGCTTATTCATGTGTGCTAGAAGGATATTTTCTTGCTAGTGAATTTTTTTTTCGTTAATGTCAGCGTATTGTGGCTTAGATTCTTCACTCCTGGGCTGAAAGCATTTGGAAAGATTTTATGAGAGATGATAAACTTAATGGGCTTTCAAGCTGTTAACTCTTTTGCTGCTAAATGTAAATGTCTGTTGCTGTAATCCTGTGGAACTTGATGTGATTCTTCATAATGCTGGGAGATGCGAGAACTGTGATACAAAATTGTGACAATACAAATGTACTGTTTGGACTTTGTCTCCTAAACTCTTCTTGGTGTTTTTCCCATTGAAATGTGTCTCCTGTATATGTGGCAATGTGTTCACTCCTAAATGACATTTCAACCTATTTGTAAATTCTTCTGTCCCTTTGGAAGGCTTCACAATGGGATCCCACAGGCAGCGTGTTTTTCCACCCTGTGGAGCACAACTTCTGTGCTCTAGGAGGGTGTCTTTTAGTGTGTCTTGGAATGTTTTGTGTGACTTGGGAAATAAAACCAATATAGCCACGATTCTTCTGAAATTTAAGAACTAAAAACTTAATTCAGTGGGGCTCGGGTTGCATACATTATTTCTTTCCCTATAGTTGAAACCTCAGGTAAAAGTTTGAATTCCAAAGCCTTTGTGATCTTTGTAAAATCACAGTAAAGCAGACAGTGCAATCACAGTGCAAAAAGGCTGAAATTCAGTGGTGTTTCTGTCTTGAACAAATTTAAGGAGTTTTAGAGCTAGCAGGAGTATGACTTCTTGAAATGTAAGCAAACTAGTATGGAGGAAGAGGCCGATTGTTGAAACGGGCAATGTAACAACAGTATTTTGCAATGAAGTTGCAGTTTGCTTTTCCAATGAATTGCCAGCTTTCTATTGGAAAAAATTTGCTTAGTGTGTTCTCAGACCTAGAACTGTAATAAATTTTCCCTTCAAATATCCACTGTTTAACTCAAAACTTACATAAGCACCAAAGATACACAGCTAAGCTGTTCTGTGCCTTAAATGTGGTTTAGGGGTCAGGAAGGAACTAAGTGTAGCCCATTGGGGTATCATCTCAGAGCTGTTCTTTTTCTGAAGTAAGGGTACCACTGGTGACGTTACAGGTACAAATTGCTGTTTCAGGAGGTTTTGTATTTTCTTGCTTGGAATTCTGTATACTTCCCTGAACCTTTTTCCTTTTAAAAAAAAAGTAATAGGTGAAAAATCAAGCTGAGTATTTTTTGGCAGTGAATATTGGCGCTTTAAATTTCTCTAAGTTAATTTTTTTTCCACTTGTTTTTGTAGGATGCTGTGACATCAAAACCAGTAATCCAGTTTCAAGGAAGCCAAGGGGTAAGTTTGTATGTGGGTTGCCTTGGAAAGTTTTTTATTGGCTTATACAATTAATCTGCGTAAAGTATTGGTTCTGTGTGTCTGTCCTATTCCAGTTCAAAGAATGATGCTCTGATTTCTGTAAGTGAGAGATGTGATGTTCAGATGTCGTCCAGGAAAGAGTGTGTGTTCATTGATTGCATGGATTATTTCTTCATAAAAACTTTTCCCCTCTTTTTATTTTCTAACCTTTCTAAATCCATAGCACTAGCACCACCGGCGTTGCTGGTGGTGAAATTTAGTTTTATAAGGCCATGCTGTTGGGTAGAACAAGGAAACGGAAAGTTCACTGATGGCAGTCCTGTGGTGGGTGCAGCAATCCATGGAAACCTCGCCTGTGTCCCGAGGAAACGCCATGCCAAGCCTGGTAAACTTGGTGCAAGACTTTATGGGTACCCATTATTTACAGTAGCAGTGCTTGGAGGCTGCTACGAATGTACTGAAGCTTTATTTAATATGCATGTCTAAACAACTGTGCAGTTTCTGTGAGTACCAAAAGTTTTTTATATTTAGGAGTTTTATTTCTTTAACTTCTGTTCCGATGACTGAACTTGTCCAAGATATTTATAGATGCTTGAATCCGTCTGTCGTACCAGTTACTGACAAGGTTGAGATTTAATTGGTAGTGTTTCTGGTAAAGTAATGCAACTCTTCAGTGAACTTTAAAAATGTCATTTGTATACCTTTTTAGATAAAAAAAGGTGTGTGATTAACTTTGGTGCTCTGCATAAAGAAGGGGAATTTATTTTTTTTTTAAGAATCTGAACTCAGCTGTAAATAACTTCTTAATTTTTTGTGGTGGCACAATAAAACTTTCAAAAAGCCTTGAATTAAGTAGGCATTAAAGTCTAGCACATTTCTCTTTGTCCATATTTTACCTTGTGATATTAGTCTCATTAATAGTACATAGTACTTTTAACGAAATGTAGCAGGAAAGACATGATTGTTATTGTAAGTTAAGAAGAAAAATACAAACCTTTTGGCCTGGGAAATAAAGAAAGGAGCAATTTCCAGGTTTTTTACTATGTTTACAATTAAACTTCCCAGAAAACCTAGCATGAAAGCTTAGATAAAAATCTGCCACTGAGGTTTGGCAAAATTAGAAGCGAGTGACAAGGAAAACTTTTAAGGGTGCATGATTTGTTGCTATTAGATGAGCAAATGGCTTTGCATGTAATAAAGAAGCTAAAAAAACTGCAAATGCTTTCCTTCCCCTTTGTAGAGCACCTTGTGAGGATCTACACCTAACTTTTCCTGTAAAGCTGCTTAAGTTCTAGAAATGCCTTTTACTTAATCTTCCTCCTCCAAGGAAATGTAGCAAAATGAATCAGAACAGCTTAAAACGCTCCACTGCCCTCAGCCACTGTGCTCTTCTTGTAGTGGTCTTCACATGGATCTGATATGGACCCAGGCATTTTCAGGTTAACCAAAAGAAAACCTATTTTTAAATGATGCAGTTCCTTATAATAGTTGAAAAAAGACCCTACTTAATTATTATAAGGAACTGCATAATTTTAAAAAATATTTTCAAATTACTCAGTTCCTTATGAAAATTAAATATTTAATGCACTTAATTGTATTTGAGCCCTTAACTTCCAGAGAAGGGTTTTTGGTGAAAGAGCTGCCAGTCACCTGTAATTACAGTCCGGGTTGAATGGAAAAGAAGTGAAGCAGCACGATTGCGTCTGATGTTGCCATTTAAAGAGCAAAGCCTTGAGCCCTGCACAGTGAGAGCAGTGCCGGGGTGTTGCGGGTGGAAGGAGGATGTTGGCAGCACAGAGCTGACCTCTGCTTGCCTCGTTTTCAGCTGTTTAATTAATTGCACTGTCGAGTAAAGGCCAAAGGTAGAGCTTTGAAGAAAGCGAGATCCAGTTCAATTGGGGCAGATAGAAAGAGCTCTTTGTCCTTTTATTAGTATTTTTCCTGGGTATGACAAGAAGCTGGCAGCTGCATAACCATCTGTTTTTAAGTGTAGTACTTGTATATGTCATGATTGTGCCTTGCTTTAAGGAATTGACGGCAGGGCTTTAAATGCTTTCTAGTGAGCCTCCTATCAATTGGACTGAAAAGATAATATCAGTAATTTAACAAGTTCTCAAATTCAGATGAGGACGTTAAAATGTATTTGTTTAGCTATTTATTTTTGGAATACGCTTTCTTCCACGATACCTTAATTCCTCAATTTGTTATCTTCCTATTTTGCTTCCTAATGTTGCTATGGAGAGGGTTTCCCATTAACTTTTGAGGGTGGTAGGTTTTGTATATAGCACAAATGTCAGAGTGTGATTTAAAGAAACGTCTGGTGATAGGAGATTTTAATAGTGTGACTTTTCTGTGTAAATATCCCTCTCGCAAGAAGGATAAACTTAAGGTACTTGATGGTTGGGAGAGGCAGGACATACAATAAGAGTTTAAAACAAACTGCTGCTTCTTTAATTCTCTAGAAGCCTTTAAACTACTGTGTCCATGTCTCTTTTTTACCTGTTACCAGTGTTAGTCTAATGAATGCTGTCAAGGATGCTCTCAGCTTCTAATACACAGGAAAAAAAACACTTTCATATTTAATACTCTAATTAACCAGAAAAAGGAATTGGCCAGGAATAAAACACAGGGTCAGCAAGGTGGCAGCTCTGTCAGCCAGGTGCTGAGAGGACGATGTTGGTGGTTCTAGCCCAAAATAAAATAGCTGTTTCACTGATGGGGTGAAACCTCCTGTACAGATCCTGGTCTGGATCGAATCTCACAAGAGTTTTCATAAACTGTGGACGGTAAATGATCTTTGCCTTGGGAAGCATTTCTTCATAGCAATGCTAGTTTAGTTAGTTACTTTTTCAGTGCAGTAATCTGGGTAATAATCAGAATTTCAGTAGTAGTAACTTGGTTGTAATTAGCAGTGTGTTACTCTGCTTTGAGATGCTAGAGTGGGACTATCTGGATATTCCTTAAGAGCAGCACCTGTTTGTTAGTTTTTTGTCATGAACTGGATCTTCTTGGATAGTTGTGTAAGTTTATATATAGTCTTGAGTATTTTGCTTGTTTCAGTGTCCATATAAATTAGAATTTAAGAGCTTGAGTACCAAAGCGGTACAAATGGTGGTAGTTGATGGTGTGCATAACTGTACAAGAAAGGCTGAAGATGCTTCTATTTCAGTAAGAGCATGTACAGAATTAGAGTTTAGGTTGGGTCAAATTTGCAGGTGCTTACCGGGCAGGGGGAGCAGAGATGGGGGAGTAGGAAGGAACTGAACCAAGGGGGGGAAAAAAAAAACCCTTCAGGTGCCAAATACATGTATGTTCCTGCAGCTTTCTTAAACATGACTGTTAGGAACAGAATGTCTTAACTTTACGTGATTGGAAAATATGACGTTTTCCCTTGTTCCTTGGGATGAACTTGCATTGGTATTAATAGAGGAAGGTGAAATTGCTACTCAGAGTGAGCTGTACACAGATGAATATTACTTGAAAGAAAAAAACAGAAGTCACATCTGTACTGAGCTATTTTTAAGTGTCTATGGTTACTGGTGTAATACTCAGCACCAGAATTAGGGCTCCCTCAAAGCAGTTACCATGCTGATTTGGTGGCTTGAGAAACCGTCTGTTTCAGCTAAAAATAATTCCTAGATAACGGCCAGTTTGCATACACTACACTTTTCAGTACTGGAACGAGCAACATTAAGGCTAAAGTGAGTCTCACTCCTGTCTCATTTTACGTCCTTTGAAGAAGCTGCAGAAACTACAAAAATGCCAAAGTCGGGACTCTCAGAGCAGCTGTTTTTTACAACGGTAAATGAGGAGCTAGAAGCAAGTTATTTTAGTGTGTGAATATATGATTTGGTTACATCCTCCGGGTTTTATTTTACAAACCTGTCGGGTGTAGCACAACTCACTCCCGCAACGAATGGCACTAGAAGCTGAACAGACCCGTTGCGTTTACCTTCTTGCCCCGTTCCCAGCAAATTAACTAGCGGGTGAATGGTGCCAACTGTGAAGTACTCACAATCTACTGTTTACATAACTTTGACTTTGTGCATATTCTCAGCTCGCTTGTAAAGCAGAAGAGAATTTTATTTGTTCTGGATGGGTGGGGGCAGAGGGTGCCGGGACAGATTAAGGGCTCAAGGCTGCGGCGCACGTTTGGCAGGGGAGATAACAGGGCTCAGCTGCTGCTGCCAGAGGGGGTCAGCGCTGCCCGTCAGCGCCCGGATCGCCACCAAATCTGCTCCGAGTATTTTTAGATGCGGATCCTGGGACTGTGCGGGGGATAACTTGTCCTTCTGTGTAAAACATGGCTCAAGTCTGGGTTTCTTGGCTTGCCGTTTTGAAAGAAGGGAAGTCTGTTTTGAGGGCTGGCTGGAGGATAGCTGGTCTTTACGGAGGGTAAATGGAAAATGCTGCACTGGCTCAGCTTGATGCAGGTCACACAAGCGTTTCTTGCTGCTTCTGAGAACATCCCTGTGGTTTAGCGAAGTGGCACAGATGCAGTGGGTTTACAGGCTGCTGTAGACGTCTGAGGTCAAAGGGAAACCACCTAGAAACCCTTCTGTACCAGCAGTAATCTTTTCTGGAGTACAGTCATATGTGGATGCCATGAGTTGGTTTGCTAGGCGTATATATTTTGTGCATATATGTGGCAATCTGGGTAAATATAAATCTGTGTGGTGGAGTGTAGCCTAAAATAGCTTGAAGCTGATGTTCCTTCTGTCTCATTTTCTGGAAGCCATCTTAATTATCAAATATTGATGTGATAGTAGAGCTCAGATGCTGAGATTTATGTTGGATCTTGAACGCAGAGGGGAAACAGTTTCCCTTTTGAAAAATGAATGGCTGGGGGGAGAAAAACAGTGCAGATCGCTGCAGAGTTGTCTGCAGAGCACACTTAATGCTTGATTAAATATTTAATTTAGCAGCAGCGTCACACTCTACTGTGAGCCATGAAATCTCGTTATGGAATTATAATCTCTTAAAAAAGAATAAGCATGCTACCTAGTGACCTGGCTTGTACTATGTTTAGTGCTGGATCACTAATTCTAAAGAAACAAGTCTCAAATGCTTTAAATTTAATATAAACAGTGGTAGCAAGTCTGTTTTGAGCCTGAATCAATAGAATTGGGTCAGATTCCTAGAACAAGATTATTGTGGGCTCTGCTTTGAAAGGCAGCAAGCCGCCAGCTCAGATGTCTGTTCTGTTTTACAGACATAGCTGTCTATTTAGCTGTTCTTTACATCTGTCTACCTCTGTTACCTTATCTTTTCAGTGCATATAGTTTTGCTAACTTGAATCCTTCTTGTAGCTTCTTGCTCTTCATAGTCTCCTATGCAGTAATCTATATGCTTTACTTGTAGTGAGTTGCAAAATGGCTAAAAGCATAGTGACTGCTGAAAAATAGAATTTTGTGTTAGTGTGGGCTGCCCAAGTGACCAATATTTTTCTCCTTCCAAACAGCACATCGCAATTCCAAGGCCTGATCGACCTACGGAAGTGCGGACTTTCACATTTTATCTTTCAAATATTGGCAAGGACAGCCCCCAAGGGAGTTTTGACTGTATCCAGCAGTATGTATCTAGGTGAGTGGTACAGCAAAAGAAGATCTAGCCTTTTTTTAATCTATCTTCTGTGGAATTTTTTCACTATCAACCCAGAACAAAACTTAATATGTGTTCGTTCTTTTTAGAGTCTTTCTAATCTGTTTGCATGTGTATATTTGGGTAAGGAGGCATTCACAGAAGAATCTGTTTCCCTCTCAGCTTCTTTCTGTTCCCTCCTGTTATTTAGATAATGTAACCTCAGTTATTCACCAGTGACAGAGATGTGCCCATTTGCAGTGTTGGAAGTATCTTTGCCATTGCATTTCTTTTGCAGCAATGGCAATATCCATTTGGATTGCCTTGGAAGCATACAGGATAAAATCACCGTGTGTGCTACTGATGAGTCCTACCAGAAGGCAAGGCAAAGCATGGCACAGGCAGAGGAGGAGACTCGCAGCCGGAGCGCTATAGTCATTAAACCTGGGGGGAGATACGTAGGTAAGCAGCAGCTTGATTTGGGGGCATTTTAACTAGCTTCTGAAGTCAAATGCTGACATTTGTTTGCTTGACCATGAAAGTCTTTAACAAGTACCTGGTAGTTCCTTATGGGTGTCTGATTTATTAGGGTGCTACTCTCCTTTGTATTGTGACTTCTTCATGGCTTCCATCTTCACCCTAGAACATGTGTGGTGGTGTTTGTGTGGCCTCTGAGGATTGCCTGTGTGCAGTCACATCACTCTGGCATTGTTTCATATTTGTCACGTGGCGATGCTGAGGGCATACTGCTGATCCATCAGAAGTGTCTGTGCTCCTAGCAAAGTCAGCTAAAATGTACCACTGCTGTTGTCACACATCTGGTGCGTGCCTGCACTTGAGACCATAACATGCAACATCTAGGATGCAGATAGCAGTGCCCTTGTGTTAATAAACAAAGAGACTAAAGCAGTGCTGCTGACTGCAGCCTTAAACAAACCATCTTATTGTGACAGTGAAAGGAGAATCTTAGGGGAGGAAATAAAACTGTATTGGTAGGCTCCAGAAGGAGCCTGCACAGACCTAGCTTTGGGCTCAGGTCCTTGCTTAACCTCAGTCTGGTCACAAACTCGGGGCACAAATACTAACCAGAAAGCAGAGTTTTGGGGATTTTTTTTTTTGAGCCAGCTGTTTTTTCTGCAGCACACACGATCTGTAGCCAGCCTCTTCTCAGAGGATGTCTGTGATGAGACTGGTGAGTTGCAAAATGTAGAACTGACCCTGACTCATTGTTTTATCAGCCAAGTGCTCAAAGCTGAGAAGTAAGATGGTAATCAGGAAGGAAATGCATTGATTTCCTGTAGACTAGAAGATTATTTTGTTTAGCTTATATTTGAGAACATTACTGTAAGTGGATGAAGTTGTTAGGCTTGTGAGGGAGAAGATTCTCAGAGCAAATTGCTTCCCGGAAAGATAGAGCAAAACTTTTGATTTAAAAATACTCTTGCTGAAACGTTTACTGCTCTGAAATGGAGGTACAACCGTGTAAAAAGCAGTGGAGTGGAGTGCATGCTGCATATGTAAGATGTCAGTGTTTTAAGATGGGAGGAAAGCACTGGTCCAAGAAGGAAGAGCCTGGGCAAGGACAGTCCTCTTGTGGGATACGCACATGTTTGGTGTGCCAGCACCATCAGCTGATTCACTCGCAGGCTAGTCTGGAGGGAGAAGGCTGGCTCTCACATTTCCATGAGAACACGGAGCTCAGCACTTAAAACGTCAGTGGAGTTATTCCAGGCAGCTCAGATGTGGAATAATTTATATGAAATGTTGAAATTGGAGATCAACAGAACAGTATAGATGTGAACTAACACTTGAACAAATATATATGTAAATAGACAGCTGATACGTTTGCAGGGGGATGTGTGTTCTTATGTATACACTAAGTATATGTGTGCATGTATACATCGATATATATGCACATGTATAAATATTTTAAAAGACTTCGTGTTCTGGCCTAACTTAGTTTTTTCTTTTCTTATCGTTGCGTGTTTTGGCTCCAGCCTTAAGTGGAAATGTCCCAATGTGTTTTTGCTGTTCATATCCTGGCAAGAGTTAAGGGAGTTCTAGAAAGCTGACAAATCTTCTCTTGTCCCATTTCTGGAAATGAAGTCCAGTTGACCTCTGAATTTTGGGATGTTTAACATGTGAATTGTTGTTTTTCTCTCTCTCATCTTAACTTAGCCCTGCCGACGATGGGTCGTACTTACTTGCATCAGTGTGGTGCGTAATAAAAAGCCAGGAAATGGGGACTCAGTTATGCAATCTACATTTCAGTAAAATAAACACAGCAGACAATCACCAGTATCTTCAGATGACTCAGTTGAAAACATTGCTTCCTAGCAGTGGAGAATTGCCATGCTGAAATAAACCTCCAAAATTCTTGCAGTAAATGCTGGATGTTGTTTGTCCTAGTGAAGGTCACTTTCTTGAACCAAAGTGATTATTGGTTGCGTCTCCATGTTTTAGACCTTGGAACCAACAAATTTTCTTTTTCAATTTGCTGGTTTCGCCTTTGGTAGCAGGAACCTGCCTTTGTGACCTGTTTCTGTATTCAAAATAATAAAATTCTTTGATTTGTGCTTTAGTAAGTGATGGGGGACTTGTGTGAGGGTTCTAGTTAAAGCTGTTTTTCAATAGGAATGGGAAAAATGAATTCTTGTACAATGCTGTCAGAAACCAAGAACCACATTTGGGACGGAGTTGAGGAAGCTGCCTCTGAGGGCTTGAGATGAACTTTTGAGACAGCTTTATGTTCTCACGTATATGTAAATGTAATTGGAGGGTGAACCAGTTATTATTACAGTGTAGCAGGGGTTATTCTATTAGAATAGACAGCACACTAATGAATAGGCTAATGTATCAGTGTTAGACCCCATTCATGTGGCTGTGTTTGGTGGGGGGAAGGGAGGTAGACCCAGCCCCATAAAGTTTCTATTGTTCTAAAAGCAGAAACATCTGCTGGAGTAGCATTTTTGCTGAGATCAGCAGCAGGGAGCCGCTCGTTGACCAGTTCTGGTCTTTCCACTCCATATTTCGACTCTTCTACATAATAATGCAGAATTTTCTTCTCATAGGGAGGGAAAAAATGGTTAGATTAACCATGGGGATACATGCATTTGGGATAAATGAAAAGCTGTCAAACAAAGAGCGCTTTATGTAAGCTTGTGGCCAGTAATACTCAGGTTTGCAGAGCTTGGCGATGCTGTTTACTTGTTACAAGCTTGTCATGAATCATAAAACTCATGGGATACTCATTCCGGCGGCGTATCGGAACGGATGGGGTGTGCTGGTTGTGTTTGTCCTTCATTGTCATCTTCTGGCACTTCAGATGGCGTAATGAATTCCATATACGTGTTGACAGACCACTGGCCTTTGCAAGGTGACTGCTGCAGTTCACTATTCTCGTCTCATTTTAGGCAAAAAGGTTCAGGTGCGTAAACCTGCACCAGGAGCTTCCGATGCTGTTCCCTCCAGGAAGCGCCCAACGCCAGTCAACCTTGCCAGTGCAATAAAGAGAGGCAATAGTGCGATTTCTCAGAGACCCTTCAAAGATAGGGTTGTGCACTTACTGGCACTAAAGCCTTATAAGAAACCTGAACTTATTCTCAGATTGCAGAAGGATGGACTTTCTCAGCAGGACAAGGATTTGCTGGACAACCTTCTGCAACAGGTTTGTACTCTGATGAAGGCAACAATTTAGGTAAAGGGAAATGTCTTCTCAGAACTTCTGTATTAGTCTGAACGTAACCTGTGTATCTCAAAGCTGCAGCTGAGTGTTTCTCTAAAGGCCATGTCCAACAGAAGTTCACAATTCACATTACTATTTTGCTAGACATAGTGAAAGCCTCTCGTGTATATGCCTCGGTTTAGGTGTGTGCCACTAAGCTGTATGATTTCAGTTCACCAGATCAGTCACTTAAAAGGAACGCTTTTGGTCGTGGGGAGAATTATCTAACAGGATCTAGAACTTTGTTATAAGCTATAAATCTATGTATTTTTATTAATGTGGACATAAAGGAACACATTCTGTATTGATACATGTGATGCTTCCTGTGTGAAGGAAAAAAATACATCCCTCTCCACGAAGCTTTATGTCTCTTTGTATTGTTCAGACCCATGCTTTTCCTGCTTAGAAGTGCAACTGGTTAGGTGTGAAGATCATGCAGCTTCTTGCAGAGCATATTACTTGTATGTCAAGTGTGAAAGCTGTCTCCAAGCTGAATCAGTTCTTAACACTTTGAGTCATGTTGTAGGTGCCATTTTAGGAATTGCAGTAAATACCTTTATTGCTCTATTGCTCTCAGTGCAGAACACATCATGGATATTTATTTAAATGCTGCAGCTGCCTTCTTCAGTATTGGATGGGGGGGGGTGTTTGGTTTTGGTTGTTGGTTTTTTTTTTTTGACTCCTTTCCATAGCTGAAAAGAATGAGCCAGTGAGGAGTTAGTTTGCCAAAGGGCACAGGGCAGGTCATATTGAAAACGGAGTTATTGCTGGCACAACTTGTACCTTCCCTAGATTTTAATCCTGTAGCCCTTAATTTTGCAGCAATGCTAGAATTCTTTTGAGCGCCCTTTTGAATGCTGTAAATAGATTTAATACTAGAAATACTGTTTCTGATAATCACCTGTTATTGATGCTCTCTCAAACCCCTAGCAGGCAAGTGGTGTGTTTGGCAGTGTCAGGCTGATTGGGCTAAATGCTGATTTGGCTGTAAATTATATTGCTTGTAAACTTAAATCTCCTTTCAGCGCTACCAGGGCTCCCATCCACAGGCAGACACAGATAAGCTAAAAATTACAGGCTGCATTAAGGCTACATGTCTAAATACGTCTAGGTGTGGGTTTCATTGTACTCTTGCATCTCTCATAGGACTCTCTGTTCCTGCTGGCCTTTTTGCCTCGTTTTGCAAGATTCCTATTTTTGGGAGGCCTGGGGTGGAGCCTACAGAGTCCCACACCAGCAAAACAAGGAGGTGGCAGCTCTCAGCCTCTGTGCAGAGAAAATCTGAGTTGTTCTGCCTGGGCTACAAGCCTTGCTGAGCAGCGTCTCCCGCTGTAGAAAGAAGCGGTAACTGGAGGGATTCATGGAGAGTTTTTGAAAAAGAACCCGGCTTTGCTTTTGTCTTGGGCATGTTTACTGGGATATCTAAAAGTAAAACACAGCTCAAATTCTTCTTGTATTTTGGCTAAGGATTTTGGAAAGCTGACAAAACTGAAAGGAAAAACAAAGTGTTCGTCATGTAAACTGATAACTGTGCTTTTTATTTTTCGCTTATCAGGAGAGCTTTGCTGTGTTAGTTCTGCAGCTTTTTGCTTTTGAATTCATAGATTTTTAATATTAGGTCACAGCCTCCCTAAAGCAAAAGCACAAGAATTAACAGCATCATCAGTTAATTCAAGACTTTCCACTCTTTCACTTGCTTTTCTGAGGCTATCTTACTGCTGTGTGGATAATAGAAATTCGTAAGCACAACCATCTCCTGAATGGAGCGAGCAATGGAGAACACTAATCCTTAAACCGATGCACAGTATCTCCACTGACTGAATAAAAGCTTCTCGCAGTTTCAAGTGTAATACAGTTGTCAAACTGAGCAGCTAAACCAGCGAATTTGGGGCACGGTTGCTGGCTTTGCCAGTTGATCAGCCTGGCTGTGGGCATAGCATTTGGCACCTCTGCCTCCGTATCCCTTTTATGAAAACAAATTTAAGGCTTTGTTTTCTTTCTAAACTTGCAGTGCTCTACAATCACCTAAGAAGGGTTCACAAAGATTGTATCTGTGAAAGCTTAATTGGGGTTTTTTGGTTTGTGCTAACATTGTATTTTTCAGACGTGTAACCAGCAGCAAGAAGTTAAATTTTCAGTCAAGCTGTGGAAAGACTGATTAAAGTGGGATAACTCTTAACAAGTTGTTTCCATTCTAATACAATTCTGCTGGTTCCAGCAGTGTTTCCTATCCGTGTAGGCACCATGCAGAGTTTTGTGAGGAAACTACACACGATAGAATTGGAAAAAAATGTCAGAAAGTTGCTCATGCAAGTGCACTGAGCTAACTGCAGCACGTGATTTAGGTGCAATGCTTCATTGTAAAACCCTGGGTTATAAGCTGGTAATCACAGGTTTGTTCTTGCCCTGAAGTAGTCCTCAAAAAGGTTCTCCTTCATGAAATCCAGCAGATGATCCTAATGCACTGAACTGCACAGTGTAATCTGCAAGCTCCCTGAATGCGTTATATCTGCAAGGCATTCTCTTTGCTGCTGCTTGAGAAAGTAGCTTTCTGTTGCCTGTTTTACTGGCTTTTTAGTGAGAAATTATCTTCTGGCAATTGTTAACTAAGCTATCGCCTCGAGTTCCTCTATCAGCTAATAAACAGCACCATTTTAGCTATCGGACAGGTGTGATAAGTGAACTGCCTGTTCCCATTAGGCTTTATTTCCAGGTATTTCCATACATTGATGTTATACTGTTCCAGACTATTCAAGCTGAATAATCTGTTTAGGTATGACTTACTTCCCAGTAAACTGGATATGCTTTGGAAACTCATAATAAACTATTGCAATTACAAGGCAAAAGGAAAGGCACAGTTTGATTAAATAATCTAAATAAAGGAAGTATAAAGTCTCTCCTTGTTCTCTGACACTATTAACTGCTGCTAAGTCTGCTGAGATTTTGCCTACATCTTAGATCTCTTTTGTTAGAACAAGTGAGAAAATTAAAACCTAACAGGTTTTTTGCAAATTACTTTTGTTTCAGGTGGCAAATTTGAGTGCCAAGGACAGCACCTTCACACTGAAAGATTGTGTATACAAAGAAGTGCAGAAGGACTGGCCTGGCTACTCTGAAGGAGATCAGCAGTTGCTGAAGAGGATACTTGTTCGGTAATTATTCCATGTTCTCTGTAACATCTGGAGCTTGAAAATACTGGGCCAGGTCAGTTGCTATAAATCAGGGTAACCAAAGTCAGTAGAACTATGGTAAGTTGAGTGTTTGACTTATTTTAATGTGAAGTAAATCTATAGCTGCCTGGATGGTAAACAGAAGTTGACTAAATTTGAATATCAAAGTGGATGCACTCTTCAGATCATCCTAGGTTGCCTTTAAATCATTATACTAAAAGCTAGGGGAAAAACCTGGATGGACAACAAAAGCTGTTACAGTTAATGGTGGTTTAAAATCCTGGGAGATGAATGGATTAAGGCAAATGTGTCCAGCTCAACTCTCCATTGAAATTTTCCTTTCCTTTTTCCATATCTTCTTGTACATGGTTTCCTGTGCAGACTGCTGTGTTTGTTGAAGGCAAGGAGAGAGATGTTACCTTGTAGCCACATGCTGTAGCTGTCTTGCTCAGCCACTTTTGTGCTCTGTTCCTGTGGATGTCCCTACTCCTCTTGAGCTGTTTGCTTTGGAGACTTTGCTGCTTAATTTCTGTAGTGCTGTTTGGATGTTTGCTTACTGTGTTTTTCTTGTGTTGCAAATTCTGTTAGTACCACAGTCGCCCTGCAAGATTAAGATTTGATTGAAGTAAGGGTTGCATGAAAGCACGAGGCAGTTCTGGAGAGATAAGTCCCCTGAAATATGTGCTGGTTGTCCTGCTGCCCATACCTGCTCTCATGTTCCTTCCTTAAGAGAGTTAGTTGAGATGATAGCTTTGTCTCATTAGTTGCTAAAGATTTTTTTCCTCTACAGATATTTTTCCTTAGGTGAAGCCTCCAAGCTTGGAAGCTTTTGGCTGGCAGGCAGCAGGGAAAGAGAACATATCTCCCAGGTTTCTAAAGAATTCTGCTTGGGAGTGCTTATATTTCACTCTCTGGGTTTTCAGTGTGTTTGTACTGACTTGGTACAGATTTTGTAATGCAGATCGAGATTTTACTTGACTTGTTTTTGAGACTTATTTTATTGCACTTTTGGTTAAGATTAAGTAGAGCGTGCTCTGTTTGAACAGTTTCCATGATTTGAAAGCACAGTTGGCTTGGAGATGAGACTTTGTTAAACCAACAGAAACTTGCACTTGAAGTGCTGTGGCGTGCTAAAGAAAAATCAAACTCATTTAAATGGCCTTGATGTTGAATTATAACTAAAAGGAAAAATACAACTGCCATGCAATCTTTATGGCTTTCAAAAAAGTTAATTTCTCCCTGTAGAAAGCAATGTTTACTGCTTTTTCTAGAATTGTGGCATTCAGTTATGTGAAGGTCTAAAAATAGACCTTGGAAAGGATGTATTCAACTGTACAAACAAAGACCCGCTCAGCCAATGCAGGTAATGAGGCTACAAAATGGAAAAAACATGTAGGGTTGAAGACAGTAGAAAAACATTCACAAAAAGGGCACCGGCACCAGACGTAGGACTTTACGTAGCTGGCTGTGGTAGTCTGCGTGGTTGCTTAGATCCAGCCAATTGTTAAATGTCCTCTTGGTTTTCAGGTCTGGTTGGCACTCAATGGTTCAATGGCTGCAATAATTAGCACATCTGCGAATATTAAAACTATATCTAATAGTTCTCATGTTAGACTAGCTCATTTTTCCTCATGTTGTTTGTGTTTTCCATCCTTTCACCGTTGTAGTGAAATGTTTCTCTGCTGTTACAAGAGCTGCTGAATTGAAAGTTAATTATTTCTTTCATTCATTTTTTTAAATCCATAATTAACATGTCAGGACACGTGACAAGGTTGCTCAGTCTAGTCAAACGGCATCCAAAAAGCCACTTTCACTGCAGTGTTTATGGAATATCACTGTTCCCCTTCCTGTTTTCACAGTCTGAGTACTTTTCTTGAGTTGATCTGTGGCTGTTGAGATTGTTCTAAATAAAATTAAACAAAGCAGCAACTGAAGCCAGAATGGCGGTGAAAATGCAGGCGTCTAAATGTCGCTGCAATACAGCTGAAGGTTCAAGCTCAGGTTAAAAGAAAATCCTGTAAAAGTTGTGGGCTCTATCTCTGAAATAATCTTCCCAATGTTTGAAAAATATGTGTGCGCTTTAAAGCTGATTATAGCATCTTGTGGAAGAATTTAGACATTGGTTATTTAGGCTGTACAGCTGGTGACAAAATGACTGCAGAGCTAGTTTATTAAAACCTTTAACCCTGAATTTTTTTTTCAGCTTGACAGCTGCAGCTTGATGCAACAGTAGTTTTTCCTGGGTGATTAATATACGGGCAATCTGGCTGGTGTCAGAAGAGTAGGGCAAAGCTGGTGCACTGTGAAACTTTACTCCGAGATCTAGAGAGCCCCTTGGGCAGTGGGGAATGGAGATACCCAGCGTGAATGTGAATTAACGCACTTACGTGATTAGAATGACTTGCATTGTACTTTTCTGCTACAAGAGGTTTCTATTGTTTGTTGAATACCACAAATACAGACCCAAGTAGCGCTATTTTGCATGATGCAACTTAAAAGTATTATTATGAAGCCCTAAATGTAAATCCTAGTGGACCAATAATACAGTAACAGTTCCTGTTACAATCCTGCTTTTCCTGGACCCAGAGGGGCTTGCTTCTGAAAGAGGACTGCTGTTCCGTAGAATGTTGTTTTAATGGTGCTAACGAGTGGGAGAACTTATTCCTCAATGTCTGAACTTGAGTTTCAGCCCCTTTTCAGTGTGCTTCCTTTCTGAATTGTCTTGTGAAGCGGATTGTAACTGGGCGAGGCAAACTCGGCAGAAATCAGTTTAAATAATGTCTTGCTTATTAAACTGTATTTCAATCAGTAGCAAGAATATATATACCTATACACTTTAAAGTTCAATGCCAGTTTTTACTAATCTGTATATGGATTATTTTTCTAAGGTTGTAATTAATTTGTTGTAAAGCTCAGGTCACCAGTTCAAGAGAAAAGAGGTAAAACTGTCAGAAAATAAGTTCCATGTTCCGTAGGGAATCCTCTCGTGTGTCTGATAGCTCAGCCTGCCTCCTCCCTCCCTGCCACAACACCGGCAGTGTCAGTCCAAGGTGTTACCTCTATTCTTGGAGAATTACAAAAATCATGGGAAGGCAGGAAAGAGATAAGCAATTACTATATGTTGTTGGGTGGTATTTTCCTGTAGTAGTTTCTTCTTCCTAGATTTTGAATGAAATCAAAACTGTTAAGTGCCTGAACGAGCTACTTTCATGGCATCTTCAAGCAGTCAGAATTTGAGCCCACAAAAAGGCTCTTTGCAGGAAGATTCGAAATACCATCTGTTGGCTTGTCAAGCACGGGATTTGAACAGCCCTAAATTCTGTTTTTCAGGAAACTCTGTCAGCCACAGAACAGTAGTGGTTTTCAAGGAGAAGCGCCTTCCCTGAGTCCACCAAAAGACAATGTGAACTCCAGCTCTCCTCCTCAGGTAGGTAATCCCTCTCCAAGGGTGTTGGGTCTGGTTAGCACAGAGCCAGCAATTGGCTCCATCTGCTCTTGATGGAGTTGGCTGCTGGATGTAGGTCCAGGCTGAGCTGTTCAGCCTGTCTGCACACTGTAATCACCTGCTGCTGGAGGCTGGTAGGTCAATAGGTTGTTGGGGTTTTTTCTATTTTATTAAGTTACAGTCTAATTCTGGGTTTCCTCAGCATCTGTTTCTCCTCTGGATGTGGTTCAGTGACGGCCTGTGGGGAGGATCTCTGACAGTGTGTCTTAGGTTTAGTTTTAAGGGCTGAATTTTTTTCACAGTGCCTACATCCCTCTTGGAGTTCCTGGGAGAATGAGCTTGTGTTTTACTCATTACTAATAATTGACTGGAACGAAGCAGTAATAAGTAGCTCCCAAGCAAGGCTGAGTTATTAAAAACCTTGACCTTTTGCAACCTAATTGCCGTGACAGTCAGGGGCAGGTTGGTCTGCTCTTTGCTTTGTTGAGATGCCAGCGCATGGAGCTGTGAAAAGTACGTTTTGACTGTTTTTCCATGATAACAAACTGCAAAGGAGCTGCGTTTGCTTGCGTGTTAAGCAGAGTCTGTCCCCACTCTTCTCAGTATCTCTTAGCACAGGCGTTTCTCGCTAGCATTGTGAAATGACGGCTTCCCTTCTCTGCTGTGGGTCAGCCCAGACAAGTTGAGTATTTATTCTCCTCCTGCCAATGGAATGTGTAATGCCTACTTGTCTGGACAGACGCACTGAGGATTAGTGGCAAAGAATATTAGCAGGTAAAGAAATTATGTGCTTTCTGGCAGTGAGAGGGAGGCAATTCTCTATTGAGAACAAGAACTGTGCAACTTGTTTGGCAGATAGCTAATTCCAAATTCTCTCCTGCTCTGCTGTGGGCATGTTCCTGGTGAATAAAGAATGATCCCCTTCGCTCGAGATAACAGCATTGTGTCTTTCCAAGTTAAGAGGCTGGTCTTGTGTTTTTCTTGACCTGATTCTGAAAAAATGTAGGTTGAAAAATCATCTCACTTCTGGCTGTACATATCTTGAAAGACGCAAAAGTCTGTAGGGGATGTTTCTCATCTCTTGAGATGACCAAATTGAAACTTTGGGTGGTTGATTGCTTTAGACCTAGAAAAGGCTAGTGAAACAAGGGCAACCAAACATGGAATATAAATGTTTCCAGCAGTGCTTTTAACATGGCTTGTGTCAGACAGCAAACCACAGACAGCTTTTTATTGTAAGCAGTCATTTTTTTGATACTCTATAGCTGTAATTTCTATTTAGAGAAGGGATGCCTGCTAATGGTTACAATCCCAGCAGAGGACTGGGATTTGGTAGTCCGGAACACAAAATATTTTGGGAAAGTTCGGTTATTGGAATGAAGGTGAAGAAAACAATTTGTCTGGTAACTCTAAGGAAACATGGCAGAGCAGGTATGGCATACATATACCACCTCATAACCAAAGAGGTAAAGTTAGTGAAGCTGGTATTTGTTGGCTTTAGAGAAAGGGTAATAAAAGATGGCCATTCTTAGATCTGTCGCCTGCTCCGAGACCTTCAGTCAAAGCGAATGGCCCCTCCTTTTGGAAGATGGACACTGCTTGTGTTCTGCTGGGAAGGCAGTCAGTGATGTTGCGAAGCTGGTTCGACGTGCTGCCCTTGCCCCTTGAGCTCTGTGGCAGTATGAGCATCTCCTCTTCGTAATTACCTTGGCAGGTGGAAAGGATTCCTGCCACTGAGCAGTGTCCTTGAGACCCCTGGAGTTAACAAAGAGAAATAATAGCTGGCGGGGGGAAAGGAGCGAGCTGGTGGCTCCCTGACAAAGCAGCCGTGCATCCAGCTGCACTTTGGTGATGGAACAAAATTTCCATTTGCAAACACATCGCAGCCCTGCCTGAGACATAAAGAAAACAATAAAATATCCAAAAGAAATAACCAGAACTATCGCTTGTTTTCCTTTGGGCACTAAATAATCTTTCCTCAGAGTTTCTGCAGCCCTGTGCTGCCAGGCAGGCACACACCACTGCACTGATGGCTGTCCAAGGTAATTTTGGCTGGCTCAGGCTGGACTGAGCCTGACAGCCGTAGTTCTGGCTCTGCTTTGAGCTCTTCTTTCTGCTGACTGACAGATGGGTTCTTCCATGGTGCAGCTTCCCGAGGCTAACCTGCAGTCTGTAGGCAACTGCTCACTAGGAGGTATGGGCACACAAAGCTTCTCCAAGCCCTGCCTGTGACTGTCCAGGTAGGGCTGACAGGGACAGTTGGGAACCACTTCCCTCTCTACACTTCTTATTTAAAAAAGGGATACTCAGGTCACGTTGGCCTGTGTGACGTGGCTTTTAAAACTGCTGTAAATGTCCTCTTTTGCCTTAAATTCTGAGAACTTAACAGTTGACACTTTCTCACCTCTTCCGGGAAATGCCTCTTTCTTGAGAAGAGGAAGGAGTGGTATTGCAAGGGTGAAGTTGTTGACCACAGAGTTGGTAAAATCATTGAGGATAAATGCAGAACTTGTGAATCCCTCCCTGCTCCAGAAAACTGAGCCCATCTTTCCTTTGCAGGGACTTCGAGGTGCTCTAAATGTCATGCCACAACCAGAAGGACAGATGTTTCTATGGTTATTTCCATTCTCTTAAGTGGCTGGGGCAGGGGGAGGGTGAAGGACAGGGCTTTACTTCTAAAGGGCTAGATTTGAAGTAAGATGTGATGAGAGCAGGCTGGGTTGCATGGCCTGTGTATGAATAGGGCAGGAGATCAGTAATTGCTGATGCGATGACAGGTTTTTCTATAAGCTCTCCCACCAAGCCATGGGCTCCAGAGCAGATGTTGGGATTGTCAGGAAATGGCTTGGGATGGATCAGCTTCTGTAGGACCTGGTGGTCCTGGAGCCTGTGTCCAGGACTAGCCTCTGAGCTGGGGACGCTTGCTGGCAGCTCTCATTGATAGCAGAGCCCTTTTTTCTGGGGGTACTCCCTTGTTCTCTAGTATTGCACCACCACCTAGTGGTAACAGCATCCAAAATTCTGGCCTCAAGACTTAGATTTTTTTTTTTTTCTTTTTTTTTTTTCTTCCCTCCCCAGAAACGATCCCAGCCTCTGGAGTTTATCGATCCCCTGGCCAACAAAAAGCCCAGGATCTCGCATTTGGCTCACAGAACTCAGCCCACTTTCAACGGGAAACTGAATTCCTCCAATGGGAAGGATGCTCCTGCCCCTGTCCTGCCGCCGGCTGTCCCGGAGTCAGTGAGCTCCAGCTCCAGCCTCCCGGTGCTGGAGCTGCCGAGGCCTCACGATCCCCTTTCGGATGTCAGCAATGACCTGACTCACAACGGCAGAGACTGTGACAACCCGGAGACGGCTGACAGACTGACTCATCCTTTGTCAACAGACTGTCCCCAAACGAGCAAGCACAATTGCAGCTCGTATGTAAAAACCAAGAAAAAATCCAAAAAGCACAAAGACAAGGAAAAGGAGAGAAAGGAGAAGAAAAATGAAGAGAAATGCAAAGAGGAGAAGCAGGACTGTGAAGTAATAAAAAATGCTGACTTAGTTAGTGTTCCCCAGGAACAGGTCACAGGTATGTGTGGTCCGAGAGGTCCTCGTGTACAGCTTGTGCTAAGATAATATCGGTATTGGCTGTGTATGATTTCTGCTCTAAATCTATTTGAGGAAAGAGGTTGCGTGTCCACTTGCAAAGTCTGTGTGGTTAACGAAATAATACCGCTGTCCCTACCTACAAATCAACAAATGCGCTTCCTCTCAAAAGAGGATATCAGGTTTTTCCTGTTTAACCTTTCATGCTGTTTGGAACTGCCTCAGACCGTGTCATGTTTCTCCTTGTTAAATTAAAAGGTGTATTAATATGTGGGGATGAAAGGCAGACATCAAGATCTGTTGGAAAAAGCAGTGCTGCTTGATTACTTCCAGCTCTTCTGCTTGTGTTTGGTATTGTGATGACTGTTGTATTGATTTTTAACTCAGTAATGAAAAGTTAGTCACAAAAGCTTTTAATATTGGATACAAAAGAAATGATAGATAAGTCTCGTGATAAATGTTGTTAAAGCTGTATACAACCAGCTCTTTCAGGCTGAAAGAGCTTCCTTGTTGTATCCCAGTATTACTCTGAATTTCTTTCTTTGAGGACTAACACAACAGTGAATCTGTTACTTGTTGAGGTGCAATGAAAATGTTTCCATCAAACCAGTATATTTCTAAGTCAGTTCTACATACTGTTAGAAGTTAGAGCAGAGAATGTATGTTGGCTAATCCAATCAATTTCCTTGCCTGCTGCTTTCATGTTTTCTGCCGTTTCATTAGGCTTTGTTACAACTCCACAGGGCAGTGGGACTTCCCCTGCAGCCCCTAGGAATATTGTAGTCCCGATCTGTTGTGAAATTTCTTTTTGCATCCATCTTGTTTTCCTTTGCCCCGTTACTACTTTTTAAGTTCCTCTTCATGCTCGGTGCATGAAAATCATCCAATTTTAGCTCAAAAAGGACAGTAACTTGAAATGGAAACTAATTTGTTGAATTTCTGGAAAGGGAGAGCTTCACAGGACATTGGGGTCAGTATGATATTAGCTCTCGCCTTCCCTGCAGTCTTTGTAGCACCTACAAAATGCATTTTGATTGTTCACCAGTGATTTTTAATGGCAGTCCATAGTTCTGATCATTGTGTGGTCCTGCAGAACCACACTCTTTAGATACTTCTACTTTGATCCTACTTTTGTGTCAGTCCTAGTTTTTTCTGTAAACGTTGTTTTTCTTCCCCCTGTACCTTGTGTCTTGAATGGTAGTGGATAGATTCACACACATTTTCTCTCTAGATGTATATTTTTGTCAGTGTTTCTTATAAATACCAAAATACTCTGAATTCTTTCTTCATGTAGTTGCTGACCCTTTACTACCTTTTCTGCTTTGCTTTAAAAACAGTTTAATGACTGGGTTTTTGTTAATTAGTAGGAGTTGGGTTTTGTTCCTGCTGCACTGCTGATGTATGTGAGGTAACGAATCCGAGCTGGACTTGGGAGTAATCATAAACAGGATGTGGTCAGTGGCTGCTTGGATCTCATACAGCCAGCTCGCATCTGAATTGGGATCTTTTCCTTCTGTGCCTTGCTTCATGCGGATAGCATGGGCCTAATCCTGCTCCTTTTGTCTGCAGCAAATGGCTGGCAGCCTTTTCTAAGTCCCCCTTGGGCCAGGGGTTGCAGGGAAGCAGAGTTTCTCCTGGGAGGTTTGTTCAAGAAGTGGTGGAGGGACCTTTGGGGTCCTTTCAGCAGTCAGTAGGTGGCACTCATTGGCAAAATAAACTTTCTTTTCTCCTTTTCTTCTCCGCAATCTTCCTTACCCATGTTCTGCATCTTCCATGCTGGTGTCAGGTAAGGATGAAAGCAGAATTGTCTGCAGACATCTGCAGTAGGAATTTGAGACTCGAGTGTTTATAATCACACTGGTTTTTTTCTGCCATTCTTCCGTTCTGCTCAGGAAAGCCTTTCCGTGGAAATTCAGGAAAAATGAATTTTTAAAAAGATACAATTCAGTTATTGCTTTGACATGCCTATGTTTATTACTTGGGCATTTCATGCTCCCTACAGTTCGTCTGGGGTAATAACTGTAAAGTAGCATAGGTGAGTGTAGGGACAGGTGAGTCTTGAGGATCACATGTACCTTTCCTGTGCATCTGGGGAAATTGTGCAATCAAGGTACTGCTTGCTCCAAGTAACAGACTTGGAAAGAAGAGGAAAGAAGAAATACACTTTAGCAAAGCGGATGAGTTAAATCTTTTGCAGCCTTCTCCACTTGCCTCTTGTTTTGCTGCCTTCTCATGGATGCAGTTGATTTCTGATTAGGGCTTTCAGTATAATACACAGTTTATGAGAAATACTCCTTTTCAAACCTGTATCCAACTGCTTTCTTCCTCCAAACTAATAATGCAGCATTTGGTTTCTGTTGAGGAAGGGGTCTGGTTTAGGCTCACATCCAGAATCCCGTTCCTTCTGCAGTCTTTGGTCCCTTTGCTTAAACTCCTAAACATTCTTAGCTGAGCCTTGCTTGATTCGTGTTTCTTCAACTTCATAGAGCAGAGAGTGCTTTGATTTGTCTGCAGGGCAGTAGGGCTACATGAGAAAAAAAAAAAGCTGCATGCCTTATAAACCTCTCTGTTGTACCCTATAGGAGCCTGGAGTATTAATAGCAGGAATCTGAACCCGGAGTATTAATAGTAGGAGTCTGTATAGTGTAGAATCAGGAGAAAGGAATGTGCACCTTGCTCAGCTCTCTGTTCTGCTCATCTGGACTCATAAATGTGTTTTGCACTTCAGCAGTGGTGATATCGGTGTTATCCCTCCCTGCAGGCAGTGTTTATAAACCAATTAATTTAAGTTTTTTTGCCACTCAGTGCATTGGCTACTGTTATAGTTTTGCTGACGGACAAATACCAGAGAAGCCTTGAAGTTTCAACCACCTTACTGTGGATCTTCTATCTTTGTCAGTTCAAAGCAGAACAGAAATCCTTTAGAATTTGATAAACTGTATATTGCAGATAAGTTTATGAATTTGAAGTTGAATTGAATGGAGCTTTAAAGTTTTAAGAATGTCTATAAACAAGTTTTTATTTTTTCAGGTTTAAATGGAACATGCAATAATTCTAGTGTACCAACATCAACTTCAGAAATGCCAGATTATTTATTGTAAGTATATTTATCAGTTGCTTCATCACTTTGGGATCATGTTTCAAACTAAAAACCACAATGTACTGGGGGTTTTGTTCGACTTTATTGTTACTCAATATAACCTTGTAAGGTGGGCTTAAAAACAAGAAAGAGTAAATCCAACTTTGCAGATTGTTCCTGAGACTAAACTAAGATCTGTTCTTTACCTCCTTGTGGAGTTCAAGGTTATTTTCCTATAAACCAATTCTTAAAGTACTTCAAGAAACATTGCGTACCTTGAAGGGGTTTGAAAGGATTAAACATCTCCGTGTTACGGTTGGAAGCTTTGGGAGGAAATGGTTGCTTTAATGTTGTGGAAGACGGGGCAAGAAAGGATTTTGAGAGGTTAGCTAATTCTTCCCCTGTTCAGAGCCAAGATCATTTACATAAACCAGTGAAATATTCTTCATGGGGAGGTTATAACCCATGGGTTAGGATGTGAGTTGTTTCACCTCTTTTTAATCAGATCCCCTTGAGGTTAATTAAACAATACACTTGTCTGCTGAAGCACAAACACCTCTGTGCATAAAGCCAAACCTGTTATAAGCAAAGCTCTGTGATAGCGAAGAAGTGTAGCTGTGGGTGATATTCCCTGTACACATCTCAGTCTGGGTTTTTAATGCCCTCAGATCTGGTTTGGCTGTACTGTGATCAGAGGGAAGAGATGGACGAGGAGGAGGCGGCATCCACTCTTGGCTCTGCAGGAGCAGTCACTGGAGTTGACTGGAGGATATACAGGGTTCTTGTATGGTTACAAAGCTGTGGTTTGCTGGGCTCTATGTACCATACAAACCACTGCTTCGAGTTGGCTTTTCCAGTACCATGCAGAAGAATGCAGATGGCTGGGGTTTTTTTTCTTGCAACAGATGTGCTGATCCCTCTATAGAGGGATATTGCAGTCCCTCAGTCCATCTCCAAAGAAATCCTGTAAGGTTTATGAAATCCTCTAAGGCTTATGGACTCCTGTAAGGTCTGTCGTCTCACCTTTTGGTACCATCTGACTGTTGTGATGGTCAGCTCCTTAAATTATAAGAGCTGTCACTGCTGTTCTGATTATAGAGACATATGTTTCACACCAGTGAGGACAACTTCTTTATCTCATAGTAGCGTATCCTGTGTGGCTGCTTATTTATAGCAATCCCTAGCAAAGACTCAGCTCTTGAAGGCTAGAGCGCATTTAGGTTAGAGTGAAAGTTTTCCCTTCTTTTGATACCTAAGTTAGCTTATACGTGTTCGTGCACCGAACTGGCACTGTTGCAGACAGAGTAAGGTGGCAAATTAGAGTCATCACCTACGAAAAGATGAGTTTTGCAGTCAGAGAGGACTGGCTTGTTGGGCCTTCTGCAAAATGTCAGGTTTAATGGCTTTTTGTTGAGCTGAATAACTTTCAAAGGGCCTCAAAGGCACATCTGTTAAACATGAGCTCTTGCGTTGTGTTCAGTTCACGTTGGGTATCTTCAGAAGGTAGTGGAAATATAGTCAGTGTATTCAACAAGGTTTCTTGTGCGCTTGCCACTTAATCATACTGTGAGCATTTTGCAACGATAGCTGAATGCTTTTTGTGTTCCTTTAAAGACTCTTAACACTGGAAGCATCGTATTCCTGCTGTTCCAAGGTCTGGCACAGATGCAGAACTCCATGTTCTGCAGGACAGCAGGAGTTAGAAAAGCTGTAGCAGTACTATCTCAATGTCCTCCTACACCCTCAGCTGCTCCCAGGCTTTGCTGTACCTGCATGTTCCACCCTATCTGGCATAGATAGGAAATTTTGGGAGCAAAAACTGTCTTGTTTTACACAGAGTTCAAGGCAATAATCCTGACAGTTGCCTTCGTGCTACTATAATGCAAATCGTAAGAGTCTGTATTTGTTTTCAAATGCAGTCACCTGGTAGACTTAGCATCCTGGTTTTGGCATTGCAGTATTCATGCTGTCTGGAGAGAAGGCTTACTAAACCAATTAACTCAATTATTCTCCCTGCAGAAAATACGCAGCCATTTCCTCTTCGGAGCAGCGTCAGAGTTACAAAAATGACTTCAATGCGGAATACAATGAGTACAGAGACTTGCATGCCCGGATAGAGAGGATAACTCGACGGTTTACGCAGTTAGATGCCAAGCTGAAGCAGCTTTTGCAGGGCTCTGAAGAATACAAGGTAGCAACAGAAATATATCTTTCAAAAAGCTAGTTCTGCAAATGGCAACACTACAACTCATTTTAGTTGCTTTGTGTGTGGGGCTGTTTGGGATGGGTTGGTGTCTAAAACATACTGCCCAGAGCCCAGAACTGGTGGATGCAGAACGTGCACACAGCTGACAGCTTTGTAGACTGTTCTTAAAACAGCTCTGTGTTCTTTCGTTTTCAAGCTGGAGCACACATCATGGTACTTGTTGACAAGGAAAGGCCTCAGTGAGACAATTGGCGTCTTTAGCCAAAAGCTGCTGGAAGCTATTAGTGTATCCCAGCCAGAAAACTCATATTTGCACATATGGTAGCGTATCGGGGCTGGAAGGGGAGTTAGTACGGGGTCATGTGTTTCTCTGGAATCTTTGATCTTAATAATGTAGCACTATTTGACTTGTCAGACTGATTTTAAGAGCTTTAACTATTCATTATCTTGAGAAAGTAAGTCTCATTGAGTATAATAAATGGATTTTTACAGAGCACCTATTGTACTAAGTGCTGTTTCCTCCCTCAAACATCCATCCCCTCTCTTTGAGAAATTCAGTGATTCCTCACTGAATTATTCTAATATCTTGGGGAAAAATTAGTCTGAGCTGTGGAGGAAATGTCAGTTATCCTGCCAACCCAAGTGCCTGTTACAGGTAGTTCTCATGGCTGGGGAATTGGGCCTGATCCAGTGTTTCTGGTGTCAGCACCAGTATAGTCATGGAGTCATGAGGCTGGTCGTAGCCATCAGATCTCACAGGGGAAGTTGTGGAGGGAGTAGATTTTGGTCAGTATTTGGAGGAAACGTGTACATTGAGCCATCAGTAAATGCTCACCTGCTGCAGTAGGTTGCAGGACTGTTGGCTCTTTTGAAAATAATAAGCTATCTTTTCCTTTTTAGACCATCCATGATCAAATTTTACAAGAATATCGGAAAATTAAAAAGGTAAGTAAAAAAGTCAGCCACAAAAAAGGCTTTTGGGTGGTGCCCCTAGTGTCTGAAAGAGATGGGTACTTGCCGAGTGAAAAAACGAGTTTCTGAAGCTTCATAGCAGATCATTGTTCAGCTCGAGCTTGTGCAAAAAGTGATCCCTTCCTGGACCAGAAAGGGTTTGGGGGAGTCGAGGCTGCTGCTTGGATCCTGGGGAACATTCAGCTGTGTTAGTGGCATGCTAGCTCAAGAATAAGATGTGTTAAATCAGTGCCTTTATCCCATCAAGGAAAGAACAGTTTGTATTTCAGATGCACAGGCTGAGTGATAACAGGATCCTCCAGGTCTTGGGGTCTGCTGGGATATGGGGTACGATTTGAGTGCAGTCTCTGGTATAAATCACTTGAGCCCCGCAGGGGACTGCATACCCAGCATGGCTTTTTGGTGTGTGGGGCACGCAGAATACTTTACATCTCTTCATGTATATGTAAAGCAACAGTTGTTGACTGGAGGGATTTATGATTTAGCTGGATGAGGTAGCAATGCCAAGGCAGGCTGGGGCATCCATACTTTAGGGGTGGTTTGTTTTTTAAATCTACAAATATGTCCCTGAGCCCTGTTGTCTCTGAGGGATTTAGGAGCTTTCTGAAGAGCTTCCCTAAGTGTTGCAAGTTCATCTTTGTTTTAAAGCTCCCAGGCTTGCACAATTCAGTGTTACCATGGAGGCGAAGGGCAGGTGATGCTTGCTGGAAGCTAAGGTGTGCGGCCCAGCTGCTCTGCGTTAGGCTAAGCCTTGCTCAAGGTGCACTCGTTTCCCTCTGCTGAGGTTCCTGGAGTTGGGTATTCATGAAAAGGGATTTTGTTCTTTGCCTTTTTTGAACAGAGTAGGTGCATTTTAAATGGGTATCTGCTCCTCCAGCTAGAAAAGCTTCATTCCTTGGTCATGTATTTATCCTCTGAGGTCTGATAGCCTTGTCTGGGTTCAGCATAGGTGTCGCTGAGTTCTGAAGAATTGCCTTCCGTCACTGCATTTTTGTTTTTCTTTACAGACTAACCCCAATTACAGCCAAGAGAAGAACCGCTGCGAATACCTCCACAACAAACTGGCTCATATTAAAAAACTGATAGCAGAGTATGACCAACAGCAGTTTTAGCTGGCACTAATCTGGACTGGGTAGGGCAAAAAAATTCACCTGGACGTTACGTTCCCTTTTATACAACTAGATTCCTTTCAGAGATGAGCATTAATTCATCATGGTTGAAGAACTTGGGGATTACTTACGATGCCGAATCAGTCATGTCTGAGCCGGGTCGCAAGCCCAGTGCCCGGCATGGTCCTCTTGAATTTTAGCCTCTCTGAATGTTGGAATGTAACAAATGAAAAAATCTGCTTATTTGAAGCCAGCGTTTGACACTTAAGGGAAAACTTGCCTAAAGCAAACGAAGCTCCCAAAGGTTAAGAATCAGTAGTTTTCATGGATTAAAGTTTGGCATGAAGTGTAATTACCCCTGGCCCAGGTCCACTGGGTTACAAATTGTCCTTCAAATGGTGAGGAACTGGAATGCTGCTAGGTTACCTCCTTCTCTGGCACCTGCGACTGTTCATATGCAAGCTGTCTGCTCTACATGGCACCGCGTTAAATACACCAAGTACCCAGAGCTCTCGTTGTTTGTTCCTGCTTTTGTCATCTCCGGTGTGTGCTCTCTTGAGGTGGTTGTGTCAGTAGGAGGGGATCAGCCCGGGGATCTGCACTGAGTGCCTTGTGCAGTGCAGAGGTGGATCCTTCATGTAAAAAAAAAAAAACAAAAAAAACCAAAACAAAAAACACACCAATCTTTTTATCTGCTTGTGCATTTGGAAGCAGCAGGCGTAAACATTTTGCAGTGGCCTCTCCAGCATGTGCAGTCCAGTCTGCCTGCATTAACCTTCACGTACCAATGCTGGGAAGATTGAGACCTGTCTGTCTTTGACTTTTATAATTTTATACCAAGGCAGCCAATTTTATTAACTGCTAATGAGACTATGGTCTATTTTTGTATAAAAGAAAAGCATCTTTTTCTAAAACTGTGCCTCCCTTTTCCTTTTAGGCCAAGTGTTTCAGAACCTTTCCTGTCTTATAACTGCAGTATTACTAAAGCTTATTGGATAGTTACCCAGAGAAGTTATTTTATTACCTGTACTGACCCATAAGAGAGGAAGGGGTGGGGGGGCGGGGGATGTGATGCTTTCTTCTGTTTTTTGTGTATTTCCAAAGAAGCAGCAGCAGAAAGTCATTCTCAGAACAGGCACCCAAGCGTGAGAGAAGTAAGGTAGCATTTTCCCATGCGGGTCACTTCCACTGTTGTGCTTTATCTAGCCAGCTTCTCGGTGCAGTCTTTCTTCTTGATTTTTTCTTTTTTTTTTTTTTTTTGGACTTGAAGGGAACATTTTTAGAGTATGGCCAGGGTGTGAGAAACACGCCAAAAAGCACAAAGGTGTCCTTTAACTCTGCTATTTCTTTCTCTCCCCTCTCCCCTTTTAATCCTGCCAGCCTGTGTGATTTGACTTCTTCCCGCTTCCGTTTATCTCAAAGTAAAGGATTACTTTCCTGTGGCGTCTCCTTCCCTTGGAGGTTGCACTGAAGAGTCTTTCACCCTTTGAAGGAGCGGAATGGCAGAGTTAAGGAGGGAAACAGTTCTTACACAAGGAGTATTTTTTTTCCGTCCCCCCCCCCAAAAAAGTGGGTCCATCTGCTGTATTTAAAAAAAAAAAGAAGAAGAAGAAAAATAATAGTAATTCCATTCTGGCTAGATTGGTTTTGCTGCATCGTCCAGCCAGGGTCACCGCTTTGCTTTGTCACTTGCAATGTTCTGAGTTTCTCTCCCTGCCGTGTTGCATCCAGCGCTCACCAGGACTTTGCCATCCTGTTCTTCAAATGAAAGCCTACAGCTGAAGGGACGTGGCTGAGCTGAATGTTACTGGCCCGGCAGCCCTCCGGCCGTGGTCCATGGACTGCCACTGGTCAGCCATGTTTTTCTGCTGGTCTTCAAAACCCAAACCTGTTCAGAAGCAGAGCAGTGAAGGAGTAGGGGGGAAGAGATGTGATGTCCAAAGCAGTATGGTGGTCCATAGGGTGAGCACCCTGGAGAGCCTCACTAGGGAAGTCCCAACAAGCATCTCAGGGCTTGGGGAACGCTTTGGTCCTGTCTCTTCCTCTCCAGGTAAAGATGACTGGAGGTTAGGAAGCCGTTTCTCTTGTGGGCATACCCATTTGTGTAATGTTGCCTGCCTCCGGTGCTTCTGCTCATCAGAGAGAGATGGAAAATACATGAGAGTTAAAGGCAAGGAAGGAGCTTTTGTCCAGAAAACTTTGTCCTCCTGCTCGGTGGGGTCTTGCACCTGGTTGGTGCACGAGTTTCTTAAGCAGTAAGCGGTGGCTGGCGGCGATGTCCGAGCAGTGTCCGACCTCAAGCCTCGCTTAGGCTCCGATTCCAACAAACCTCCCATAGCTGTGAATTTGTGCACAGAGGTGGATTTCACCAGAGCCGCAGGGATCTGGGAGGAGGCATTAGGCTGCGTGGAGGAACCGGGATGCCACGCTTTCTCGGACCCGCTGTGAGATTTGTCACTGCAAAACCCAGTTGGTGCCAGACCTGTGAGCGGCATCGCCAGCCGGCCGTTACAAATTTGGTGTTCTCGGTGGCAAGGCTGAATTTCCCAGCTCCCACCCATCGCATCCATCCGGCAGCACGCCGAGCCGCAGGGCTTGGTGGGATTTCATCTCCGACTGTGGTGCGTGAGGAGCCCAAAACTCAGATGGCAGAAGAGGCAGCAGCTACAAACCCAGGATGAGTAAATTCTTCCATGGAAACACTTCTCCTGATCCTTAATATTTTGAATGGGGTTTTTTTTGTTGCTTTGGCGGGGAGGGGGATAGAGATGGATCTCAATCTTTATACATCTGCTATAAGATATTTTTGCAAACAGAGTTGTATACAAAGATGTATTGTGTACATTTACATGTATATTCTGGAACTTCTAAAATTTGAATATAAAAACTGAAAATATTTAATGAATATCCAAACTGTGAGACCCAATTAGCATTCAACAACTTTCTGCTTCACTTTTCTTTTGGACTGTGTTAAAGAATTGTAGTCGAATCTGCCTTTTCCTTTTTTCCTTTTTAGAGATTATGAAGCTAGGCAAATTTTGTGCTTTTTGGGTTAATAGAAACCAGTTCTAGGTGATTAAGTATGATCTTAACTTATTGATACTGTGTTTTACTTTGTAATATTGTACTGTGGATAAAACTATATTGAGCCATGGAGTTGGAGTTTACAAAAGAGCTTTTCACTTTGCCAAAATGTTACAATTTAAAGGCAGCATAGTCTTCAGCTTTCCTAATCTTTTCTTAAGAGCTAGTGTCTTTTTTGTACACTAAAAAGCTGAATGCTGATTTTGCAACATATAATAAATTCACTGTATTGGAAAACAAGCAAACAATAAGGTTGTATGTTTCTTTTCAGTGCTGCTTACTGCAAGAAAACTCAAAAGGGAAAGGTGATAAATGGCTGGCGTGGCGTTTGAAAGCAGGAAACTTAAAGGAACCGAGTCAGTTGAGTGAGTTAAAGTATCAGAGCAGTAGGTAAGAAACACGAGAAGGAAAAGGTGCTTGGTGTGGGCTATCCATTTTCTAGCCGCTTGCTGTGCACGGGAAGAGTCTAGTGCCCTAGTGGGATCGGCGTCTCCGTGCAGTGGCAGGAGCTGGGGCTCTTCCCACTCCAACAGCTTTAGCACCCGGGTTTTTCTGGGGGGCGAAAGCTGCTTTTGAAGAGGCACCCATCGCTGGTGTCAGTGTGGAGGTTGGCTTTAGAGGGATGTCTTACGAGCATAGAGCGCGGCAGCTTGGAGGGTGCATGGCCCTGGGCAGATGGGGCTCGGCAGGAGGAGGTGGGCAGTAAGGAGGTGGTGTCAGCAAGCGAGGTCCTCATTGCTTCCCTCGGGATTGGCAATGCTGGAGCTTCCTACGTTATGGTGGCTCTTTCTGACAGTGTGTAGCTCCCAGGGAGGGTCCAGACCTGGTTCAGGTGCCTCCCCTCGACTGCTCGGCATCTGTGGAAGGGGCTGATGCGTTTCCCTCCCAGTGAGCTGAGCTGGGTTTGACGTCTGAGCTCGCTCACATGGGGGGTGAATCACGTCCATGGGGAGCTGGAGAAGGGACGTCGATGCTGCCAGAGCAGCGAGCTGGGGATGAGTCTGGCGTAGACGCTGCCGCTGCGCCTGCCTGTCCACGCTGCTGGAGCTCCCACCTCCACCCGCGGGTCTGAATCATCCAGCTAAAGCTCAGAATACAAATAGCATCTTGGTTGTATCGAGACTGTCCTTTTTTTTTTTTCTGCTGTCACGATGGCTGCTTGCTCTGGTCCTGGCTTCTGCAGCATCTCTGGGTCTGCTGCTCACTGTGGCTGGAGCAGGCAAAATAAAATAGAGTATAAAAGCACTCCAGTAACTGCTCAGTAGCATAACATCCTCTGAATAGCTTCCGTTTCATCCTTCAGTAGTTGCTGTGTTGCCTGCTCTGTGATCCCCCTCCTCTAGCAGTGGATGACAGGCTCAGGTTCACTGGTCTTGAGACCAAAAGTGCTGGCGGTAGGTCTTGCTTGATCCACCTGTGTACATAACGAGTCTGTGTTCATCTGCAGCTCACTTTGCTTTAGTGCAGGAATCTGGATTCTACCTCCGTAATAGCAAAATATGGAGAAGGTGAAAATAATCCAGCAATCAAATAATGTCTTACACATGTTGTGGCTTTTTTTTTAAAGTTGGGGGGGAACAGGGAGGACTTTGCTTGGTCCTGTTCTGCCAGCCTTGACCTTGGAGCTGACACAACAGCGCAAGCACCTGAGCAGGGAGGTGATGCTCCCAGGGCTGGTGAGGGTTTGCTCCTACGGGGCGCTCTGTTATGGAGCAAGAGCCGAGACGCATTGGGTGAGCTGATGCTCTTGCAAATGCCCAAATCATCAGGGTTTTTCGTTTCAAATGCCGCCTCTGAGCCAGGCTCCATGCCCCAGGCCCCCATTTTACCATCTTTTAATTCCTCACTTATGCGAGCTTCGTCCCTTGGGGCTGCTCTGGGGTGTTCATCTGATTAAAGGCTGGGTCCTGTCCCCTGGGACCTGCATGGGGACGCTTATGTCCCTGTCACCTCCTCTCCCAGCTTTCCTGGGGAATTCCTCTCAACCGCTGGCAGCTCCTGCTCTGGCCGGGGTCACGCATTGAGCTCATTAACTCGGAGCTGCCCCAGTGGAAATTTACTGGCTGCGTCCGCTGTGCCAGAGCCAGCCCGGCTCTTGCGGCTGCTTCCTTATCTGCACCCAGCTGCCGGCCCTCCCCGGGGACCGTGGCGGGGGGGCCAAGGAGCGGCATCTATTTCAGGCTGCCTCCATGTGTCCCTCCTGCGTGCGGAAGCCAAGTCCTCCATGCAGGTTCAGGAGGATCCCTGGGCTCTGATAATTCGGGTCATACCCAGGAAGAGTGTCAATTTGCGCCGTCTCAGGCACAAGCTGCCCTTAAATTAGGGTCGCGCACAAGTGGGAAAGCAGGGGTGACCCCGCAGTGTCGTGGCTGCCCTGGTCAGCTTTGTGGGATGCTTGAAACACAGCAAAAGTCCCATGGGTTTTTCCTCTGCACCTTTTGCTTGTGGCTTGTTTTTAGACGGAAGCTCATTAGAATAATTTGTCCTTGACATGGTCCGATGGTGCTGGTCCTTCTTACAGAGCAGCTGCTGTACCTCCACTGCCGAGCACGACCACCCTAAATCACCCATTTTTCTCTCCCTTTCCACGCACCCGGAGGGTGACAGCATAGGGCTAGGGAGGACAGGACAAGGAGCTGCGAGCAGCTGGCGCAGGCAAAGATAATGAAGGGTCAGAGCCTGCGGCTCGTTTTACATGAGGGGAAAAAAACCAACTGTCAATGGAAGAAAACGTGGCCAGGGAGCATTGGGGCTGTTTGTGTCTGTAGCACATAAATCTGGGGCTGCTTGGGTTGGCCTTGACCTGCTATGGGGGGGGGGGTCCTGCCGGCGTCCCCCCGTGGCCGAACCCTTCCCAAGGCACGGAGCGTCTCTGTCAGCAGCACCGCCTCGCACAGAATCAGGCCCTGAACCTGCTTATAATGAACCACGGGGGAGTTTGTGCTGCCCCGGCTCCCACAACGGGGGGTTCCCGGGGAATTTGTGGCCAGGATGCCCGTCCCTGGGGATAAGGGGAGGGGGGGGGGGAAATCTGCTAGGAACAGGGAGGGTGGGCACCATTGCTGGGGGAGCGGGCCGGTCGCTATGGCTCCGCAGCTCGCCTGGCCCCCCGCCAGCCCCCGGCAGCTGGGGAGCGAAGACGCTGGGCGGCCGGCCCGGGCTCCCGGCCCATGAACGCGTTGGGCGAGCGGGAACAAGGGAGCCCCGCTCATGCGGTGCCGAGCGTGGGAGGAGTGGGAAAGGGAGTGGGGGAAGGAACAATGGTGGGAGTTATGGGAGGGGGGAAAAAAAAAAAAAAAAAAAAAAAAAGAGGAAAAGCAGTGGAAAAATACCAGTTCTGGGCCCCTGGCAGCGCTGCCCGGACCCTCCCCGCCCCAGGATTATTGTACAAAGAAATGTTATTTTTGTTTCAATAATTTGCTGAGGCACTGGCATTCCAACGCGGGGCTCGTTTTGTCCTCCAGCCCGGCACCAAGGGATCATTGTTCCTCCATGGCCAAGGGGCCGGACGCGGCTTCCCCCCCCCCCCACCTAACACCCCC